CTCGGCTCACTGAGATCCAAGGAGACCGAGGATCGAATTTCTAGTTCATTCCGGAAATCTTCAGATCCTGCTCACCTGTCAGAACGGAGAGCTGCGCAGCGAGGATGGTGAAGACTTTCCTGATGAAGCCTCGACGGATTGCTTTGTCCTCGAAGGGACTGAAATCGGTGACTGGGAAAGCCTCCACATCTTCGAACGCCATTGCGAATCTCGGGATATTGCTCTATGCGAACCGTACACTACGCCAGTGACCTGCTCCACGCTAAATAAGGGAGCGATCTTTCGAATCGCTCGAACGCCCCCGTGGAAGAGAACTGCCAGCTACCGACGATGATGTGTCATAGGCGAAATGTATCAGAGGCGTCTGCGGTGAGGTGCACGTTAGCATGAGCGTCACTTCGAGAGCCAATGACGTCAGTCGAGAGTTGAGTGTCGTAGCCGACGGCACGCGCGACGCTCAGTCCAATCGAGTATTCGCCCAATAAATTTGTGAGGTGAAATAAGTCGGACATTCCTCCTTTTCAAGCCATTCCCCGTAGTAGGAGTAGGTATCACAAGGCAGCGGTGGGATACTTGAAGTGGAGTTGAATTTGGACTCAGGCTCGTGGGTGTGCAGGCAAAGACCACGTGATACGTGGCGATCGCTCGATGCAGAGCGTCAGGATCAGCGGAGATTCCGCCCCTGACTCGTTCGAGGCTTTCTCTCGGATGAGGAAGCGCCGAAAATCGTTCGGACGTCGCAGGATCTTCCCGACGCTTCACAGAACGATGAAGTGAGTCCCAAGCTGTGAATGACTGTCGAGAAGCGAACGCGCAGTATCGTATATTGATGATATTCACAATGGCCACGCATTTATTTCCGATGTTCCGAATATTTTCTGATTTCAATGCCCATCAATCGAGGAATCACATTCGGTCCTCTCTGACTCGAAACAGGGAAGCTTGTCTGGAGCCGTGGGTGGTAGTTTGTCTTGGGTATATGAGACAGGAAATTCTGAACTGGGAAACGATTCTGCAGCATAGCGGGGGGAGACGCCTGCTCAAGGGAAAACGGCCCAGAGTTCTCATTCCCTTCTCGAGGCTTGGGAATCACTGGGAAACTGACGGATTTACCCAATAATTTCCATACGGTCACGAATATCGGATCCCCTTGTCGAGTCTCCTGAATTTTAGTTGCGCGTTCTATCCGCGGTACACATGGCACTATCGTCTCGTCTCGATGACTTGTGAGCTAAATGTAAGCGGATGGGAAGAGGTTCGCGCACCTCTCGGGTAATTCCGGAACCAAGCCGAGCCCCCAAGAATGCATCCAAAAGTTCTTCGAAGCGGCCTGCAATACGGTCGCGATTGAATGACTTTCGCAGCCCTTCGATGAGAATTTCGCTCCGGATCTCGGTGCCATTCCACGAATCTAGCGCAGGAATCGGAATAGTCTTCAATAGAGCTTTGGGGGCAAGTCGGTTCGGAAAGACTTCCATGAGAAAATCCTCCTCATAGCTTCCCCCTGGAAGTGGACCCTGGAATACATCAACATTTTCGCCAACCTCCCCTTTCGATCGAACTCCGAAGTTAGATCGGGCTCCCCAAGTTAAAAAATCGTACTGGAATTACGTTACGCGCCGAGGAGATTCTGCGGTCAAGGAAGGATCTGCAATCGGCGCCGTACAATGTCCCT